CCCCCCCCCTCCGAGTCAACTACAAGTGAAGCAGGGCGCCTACCTGTACTCTACCATCCCCACCACCCCCTGACCTTATTTTCTTCATTATCCCCTCATCACAACCATAACCGTCGTCGCTGTCGCAGAGCAAGCTGCGTCGTCTGAGAGAGTACGAGGCGGAAGATCTGGAGCTGCGCCGCGCCACCGCCTCTGGCCTGTGGAACAAGCAGATGCACCCGGACGCGACGATGGACACCGAGGAGAAGGCGGAGATCAGGAAGCTCACGGACGCGCTCAAGGGACAGGTGAAGCGAAATAATGTGCCGCACGCGTTGCCCCATCCCCTTTTAAAGGTTAAGAACAGACAAGTTATCGTGCAACACACGCAAAACCGTCTCTCTGTCCCTCTTTTTTGTTAGTTCACTTTGAAGGAGTCAGGGCAGTCTTTTTGCTCACGATCGCTCTCAAGGGACAGGCGTGAAACGGAAAGTTCCCCCGGCGTTTCCCCACGGCGCCAAATAAGGGTTGACCTTATTTTGTCTTCGTGCAGCATTTTTTCTGCACTCTTTGAAAGAAACAGGACTGTCTTTTTTGCTCAGTGACGCTCTCAAGGGACAAGTTGTTTTGCTGTCTCCATGGAATCGATGGACGATTCTTACTCTCTGCTCGTCGACACCTCTCTCTCCGTCCTGCTGCTTCCAACCTTCACACCTCACCTCTTCCTCTTCTTCCCCCTTCCACCGCTGTTTTCGGCTAATTGGCGCCGCTTCTACCACCCCCTCTATTGCAACTACTGCTGCCCCAACACCAATGATTGCTCCGAAAAAAAAAAAGAATCTCCTGAGGTCAGGAAAGGTCCAAAACACGCTCGCTGCCAGAGGCCTCGGTCAAACCGGCGACGGTTTCAACAACAACGATGTCATCGACAGCGACAGCGACGACGACTTTGTCTCTGGAGGTTTCGGCATGAGCGAAGGAGGGATGGAACTTGACTCCGACTACGACGATTTGGACGATTTGGACGATTTGGACGACGGCGGTTACACCGACGAAGCCGACCTCCGCCGCAAGCTCAACCGCCTCGCCGGCCCGGGAGGCGCGATGGAGGCCGAGTCTCGCGAGGCCCCTCACCTGTTCTCGCCCGGAGGGCCCCTCGAGTCTCCGGAGATGGCGAGGGCTCTCGGCGGACCCGCCGGTGGAAGCGGTGCGTGTTCCAAAGACGGCAACTGTTTTTTCTTTTTTCTTTTTCTGCACAACGATTTCATCTCTCTTATCCACGGATCAGCGTCCATAAGCAATGGATCCATAATAATATACACTAGGCAACTGCTGTCTTCTTGACTGTTGGTTCGAATTGGCATGAACAGCTCGTTTCCTGATGAACGCTTGAGTGCAACCTTTGGGTTTGAAGAACTGCGTATGCCCTCGATTTTGTCTGTTGCGAACGTCCGTAGATGGTGGTGTTGCTGTTGTTGTTTTTATGCTGCTTGCTTCATGCTTCATGCCTCTTGTCGTGCTGATGATATGCTTGCATGCTTCTCCCGCTGCCCATGATACGTTCGGTCCAAACCGCAGACTCTCGCTAAACTGCCCCCCCACCCCGCCCACCCCGCCAAGGATAATCACCAACTTCTGGTTTTTTCCTTGTGAACAGCACATAGCCTGGGCCGGTGAAAACCCGGCATATCTATCGCTCTGTCCCGGCATGCGCAGTCAATGGTTTAACGACCACGGCATGCGTTGACATGAGTACACCCGGCTACCATATCGCTCCGTCCTGGCATTGTAGGCATGCGAGGTCAATGGTCTAACGCCTACTGCATGCGTTCCCCCCCCCCCCCCCTCTACCACAGGCGCCAGTGGCGGTGGTGGCTTGAGCGGGGGCGCTTTCGGGGCCGGCGTGCCGCAGCTGTCCGAGCTCGAGAAAGAGGTGGCGGCGGACGTCGGGGAGATGAGCGACGCGTTCTCAGACGTACGAGCTTACTCTAGCGATTCTTTGCCGCGTCCCCCCTCGGTGCTGGCGACGGAGGAAGAGGAAGAAGAGAGTGGTACGGGTGAGCGGCGTCTAGGGTTCGTCCTTGATTGGGGTGCAGAACACATCGGCCCGCAAAAATGGTGGTGCCGTACGTTATGTCGTTGCCGTTGCACCTCTTTCTCGTGTGTGGTCGTGTGTGCTAGGCTGTGTGCACTTTTTTTTTTCCTCCCACCCTGAAGGAAAGGAAGTGCTGCGCTCTTCTCGCTTTTAAAACTGGAAGGCAGGCACCGCAGGAGCGGTGGGTGGGTAGGGGAGGAACCCTTACTCTGTGTGACCACGGATGGGAGCTCCGACCAGGCACAAATGCTGTGTGTGAGCGCTGATTTGAAGTGATGCAAGGAGGAAAATAAATCAAGGTCCTCGCAGCGCGCTGATTTAAAGTGACGCAAGGAGGAAACAAAATGAAGATCGTCGCGTTGGCCGTTGTCCTTGTACATACCGGAAGCTACAATTGATGTCACTACCGTGATCTTGGATATGCCCATTCTGCGTTCTCCCTTGGCCCACCCCCCCCAAGGCGCCCGTGCTTCCTGCCCTGCCGAGTGACAGCCGCTTCCATCCAACCCCCTGTCAGCATCATGGTGGCGCTTATGCCGCACATTCCACACATCCATCGCATATTTCGCCACCCATCCATCTTCACATTTGGTTAACACAAAACAAAACAGGAGACGAGTGGGGATCATTCGATGATGACGACTGGCTGGGGAAGTCGTCGAAAGAAGGCACAGGAGGCGGCGGCGGGGAAGAGGAGGAGGAGGCGCTGTTACGACCGCGGGGGGCGGGGATGGGAGAAAGCGTCCCCGGGTTGCTGGGAGGCGCGAGGTTCGGGAAAAATCTCGCCGCCAGGTTGGATGACGTCGATGGGGAGGAGGGGATCGTGGATGGGGTTCGTGACGAGGCGACGAGGTCCACAGGCAGAAGATGACAGGAGCTAAAGCTAGCAACCACGGGTTTTGGCCTCTCGACCCCCCCCCGCCCAGCAGCCAACGCTTTCGTGAAGTTGTTTAGTCATGGAGTTTGATTCTTCTCCACTGATCGGCAACGAATCTTGTCTCAGGCTACCGTGTTGGTCCTCTGAAGAGAGATAATTCCCGTTTTATGGTGGTTCCGCGGTCAAGAGGCGTGATCACGTAGTCTTCTGCAGGCAGCCAGCAGTTGCGGTTCCCTTGGAATGGGAGGTCGCAGAGATAGGACCGGTTGCCCTGCTGTACATGGGGGGTGAAATCGAGGGACACACGCGGATGGGGTAGTATTCAAGTCGCCTCGATACCCTTGACAGTGCTGGGTGCTTGGTGTAAGGCCGGCCGAATCCCTTGGCACGAACTATGCGGCCTTACCCAGAGGCAACGTGTGATTTTTTTCCAGGCAAGAGAACAGCAGCATGGCCCGAGACGATGACTGTATGTTTCAGGCAGGGGGGGGCAGTAGACGAGGAGCAGGGGGGGGATGAAAGGGAAATACATGGGTGACGCGCGAGAAGAGGCGACGAGAGGTTTCAAGTTTGATAACGACTGGTTGTATCACGCTTTTCGGCACAGGAAATCCAACTCGTCGCATTGGGTAAGGTGGCGCGCGCACTGACGCTGTCGCAATCACTAGCCAACCAACGCGCCCGCTGCTTTTCCAAGCTGCTGCTTCCGGAGGGTCTCCACAATGGGCTTGGGCAGCACACGAAGATTTGATATCTTCGTATACTAGTTATGCAAGTCTTGAAACTGGGCATGGGTCGCTGCAGTTTCTAGCGCTTCAGTATCCCCAAACGTCCGTGGTGTTGTCCCAATGGACGCTGGGTTTGAAAGGCGGCCAAGACCGCTGGCACCGTAACACCGGAGGTGACAGCACGGTGGTACAGCGCGGTGTCGACAAAGTGAACACCGCTGTTGACCTGCAAACATGGGGACAAAAGAAGTGCCGGGAAAGCACTCGCTGGTTATTCGTGTGTGCTGACCGGTTGAGTTACCAAAAAAAAACGCACACGGACGGACGGCACGCGTATCCATTCGATCTGCCTCCAGTCGTCGAAAATGGGGTAAGCAGGACGACCCGTCTCCACGGAGGTGACGGAAAATGGCTTCACGACCATTTATACACCGAGTTAGGTAAAACCTTACAACTCCCGGATAGGAAGCATCGTCGGTGTCCATCCGACCGATATACGTTGCAATTGGAGCAATGTTTCGTCATCCTCATACCCCTGGCACGCCAAGCCCTTACACCCTCGCCGAACGAAGGCGTGTCGTCCACGTCCATGCGACCAAGACAAGCAACAATTGAAACAGTTTTTTCACGATCCTCGCACCTTGGCCATGCCAAACCCTTACAAAGCCCCCGCCGAATGTAAACGTCCATCTGGCCAAGAAGACACTCGACAAAATTGATACCACGATTTGGCACGATCCTCGCGCCCTGGGCCAGCAAAAACCCCAACAATCCCGCCGAATGGAAGGGTCGTCAACGTCCACCTGGCCAACAAAGACATCCTACGAAAATTGGAACAAAACCGGCACGCACCCCCAGGGGGCCTCCGGGAGAGGAGCCCTTCTGTGTAACCACGGATTGGAAGCTCCCACCCTGCAGAAATGCTGTGAGCGCGGACAAAAAGTGATGAAAAAAAAAAAGGGGCAGCGTGGAGTACAGGTGTACGAGTGCTAGAACCATTGTTTCGCACACAAAAGGAGGGCACATCCGTTCCGAGTGGGGTATCTTGCTGATAGCTGTGTCCTTAGCAGCCCCGCTCAAGGTTTGTCTTGTTGAGCCTCTACCGCGGGAAGCGGTCCAACTCCTCTCCGTCGTCTTTGATCGTGCACCCTCATCACCTCCTCCTGGACGGCCCTGAGCTTCTCCATGCTGACTTGCGCTGGCAGGCCGGAGGTAGCAGCCACGGCGGACAGCTGTTTTGCTTGCGCTTGGATTGATGACAACTTCTTCGGGCCCATGTCCAACTCCTGTAGAGAGAAAAAAAAATGCAGAAAATCATGTGAAGCCAAGCCCCAAGCTAACATTTCTCCATTTTTGAGGGGGGACTGTGGCTTCTTGTGGCCACGGAGGTTAGTAGTGTCTTTGCCTCGAATGTACTCGGTGCGTCCGTAGGTGGTTTTTATTCCAACGTGAAATTCAAGGTGTCAAGACAGTGCACAAACCCATCCAAGTGAACTTCTACAACGCTCCCAAGCTGTTCGTGCCCAAGGCCTGCACATGAGAGGAAAATGATCATATTCAAAGTAGGGGGTAACATATCCTCTGAAGAAACATACCCTTTTACCGCCCTGTATTCTCTTGACATATTGCTTCGGGCCCACGGGCTAACCATGCCAATACATTTCATTTCATACGCCCCACATAACCCGCCCTGTTAGGGCTCCGCGAGGGTGCAAGGAGGAGCAACAGCGACTATAGCAAACGCAACAGCAGTAGATACGGCAAAACAGAAAAAAAAACTTCTGGTGACAACGCCCGCACCACAACGGGTAGCCTGCCTAGGAAAGGGGTCGCGGTATGTTCATGCCCCCCCGGGCGGCTCACCTTCAGGCGCCGGAGCTCCTCTACGTACCGCGGTTTCAGCGGGAATGTTAACCTTCCCGCCGTCAGCAGTTCCTCGGCCTCCATGACCCCTCTCCTGGCATGCATCAGCAGCTTCCCTCGCTTCAACGTCCTCGCCGTCTCCTTCTCCTCCCAATCCTCCTCTTCCTCCTCTTCATCCACCTCCTCCTCCGCTACCCTCTCGCCACCCATCTTCACCCCCCCCCTAGACAACACTCCTAGCCGGCGAGCCCCCTGAGAAGAAGCCGCGCCTCTGCTCTCAACATCCCTTGTCCCCGGCCTTGATATCACGCCTAATCGTGGAGCTTCCTCAGGAGCGGCATCTTCGACGGCTCTTGGCGCCTTCGTCCTCCCAATAACGCCCAGCCTCCGGACAGGAGGTATTTTACTCACCGCGACCCCGGCAGGAGCCGTGTCTACTGCCGTACTCTTCTCCCCCGCGCCCTCGCCTCCCCCCCCTCTCGACGAAACCCGTGGCAGATCTCCGGCTTGTCTTGCTGGCTCCTCGGGACTCACCCGCTTACTCTGCGTCTCTGTAGCTGTTGTTGACGCCTCCAACGTACCCGAGGCCGAAATCAGATTGAGCGAGGAGTTATCTCCGGTGTCCGTGCCGGTGGAAGCTGTCTCCGCTGGTCGATCCGCTACACGATTTTCAACCCTCACACCTACCGCGGCCTGTGGTGCTACTGAAACCGTGGTGGCCCTATTGGTAGCGTTGCTGATGCCTTCGCCGGTTGGAGCTGCGTCTCCCGGTCCCGTTGATGTCGGTCCTGCTACTGTTGCTGCTGCTGCTGCTGCCGCCGGTAGGGACTTGGCGGCGGCGCTCAAGCTACGCTTCCGCAAGAAGGCCTTGTGCCTGAACCGCGCCGCGTTCGACTCCTGGGTGACCCTCCGGTACTTGTGGATGTGGCTCAAGATGAACCCCATCCAGCTCGCCAGCCGGCTGGACACCATCCACCGCCGCTCCCGCACGACAATCGGAACGATCTGATTGACCAAACCAAGTCAAGCGTTTCGCCGGTTGTAACGTTGTAGGTGCCGGCAGGGCATCCCAAGAAAGCAAAAGCGCGGAGTCCCCGGCAAAGACGTTGGCACGAAGGAAAGAAATTAGGCTACGGGCACATACAGGGAGCTCAAAAAGCATCGGTGTGGGATACTCTGGGTAACATCACAGGTGTCGTGCCATCTGATTTGGTGGAGCGGACGGTTAAAAAAGGAGGAATGCAACCACAAGAAATGGCGGTCAAGAGCGGGGAAATTCCTCGACCGCCGCGGATCCCGGCTCCGACAAGCCCAACCTGTTGACGGGAACCGTTGGGTGTGCTAAATACAGTGCAAGGACACGCGTCCAACGCAGACACACAGATAGCTAGCAACAACTTTTGCTCTGATATCTTGGCAACAAGCGAGAGACCAAATCAAGGACTCAACGCAACATACACACACATCTTTGAGCTGGAAGTTCAGAATTTTAAACTCCTTTCATAGGGGAAAATACTACTTGAGACTAGCGTCCTATTGTTAGGCGGTCTCTTAGACACCTGGATTCCTTTCCCAAAAAACCTCATTTTTCAGGATGGGCAGAAATCCGGCTGGAAAAAAGAGTCCGGCCGTTCTTACAGTGAGCCGGATTCCTGAGACAGATTCTTGGGGGGTGGGTGTAGATCGACCCAGGACGACATAATCGGCGAGTGCGACCTGAGTTCTTGACGTATCGCTCCCATCAAGCGCTCCCAGCAACCCTACGCCGAAGGGCTTGCTATTCAGCACGCTGGCTGTTGATGGTCGCTCGGCACGCGTGCGTAAAAGAAACATATCACATCACACCAAGCATGGGAGACGCCGAAACAGGCCAAACCGGCACGAGACAGCAAAAAGAGCCGCTTTTTGTCAGAGAGGGGTGGACACCGCAACTGATTTCTCGCTCCATAGGCCACCGATCGAAGCCAGACCGGTCAGGGCGTGCTCTCTGTTCCTTGCTCTTTGCCGGAGTAGAGTTGCTCGGCAGCGCGTACTCTCGATCGACGGAGAGAAAGCATGCGCGTGGTGCCCGTTGCTTTTTCGAACTGTGATTTTTTTCTGGTCTGCTTCACTTGAGAATAGAGGCATGTGTTGAGGGCCTGGAAACAATTCTCAACAGACAGCTTGTGTACACGCAGACGACGATTTCGAATGATCGGACCAACGAGCTGCTGAGCAACTCTACTCCGGCAGAGAGCACGCCCTGACCGGTCTGGCTTCGATCGGTGGCCTAGGGAGCGAGAAATCAGTTGCGGTGTCCACCCCTCTCTGACAAAAAGCGGCTCTTTTTGCTCTCTCGTGCCGGTTTGGCCTGTTTCGGCGTCTCCCATGCTTGGTGTGATGTGATATGTTTCTTTTACGCACGCGTGCCCGAGCGACCATCAACAGCCAGCGTGCTGAATAGCAAGCACTTCGGCGTAGGGTTGCTGGGAGCGCTTGATGGGAGCGATACGTCAAGAACTCAGGTCGCACTCGCAGATTATGTCCTCCTGTTTCACCCAGCGGCGAACTTTTTGGGATGAGAAATCTGGGTGGGCACCATCCTGATTTCTTCCAAACTTTTCGGGTGGAGGCCACCCAAACAGTTGAAATCGGATTTTGTCGACCCAAAAAACTAAATAATCTGGCTGTATAAGAAGCCGGATTTCTGCCCATCCTGACAAGTGAAGCATTTTGGGAAAGGAATCCAAGTGTATAAGAATCAGCCTTAGGTAGTTTTGTTACCGTATGTACGAGAAATTGGGTGGGAATCGAGGACCCAGAATTTTGAGATAGAAGCGTACCTGCTTGCGAAGTATGTACTTGGGGACATAAACCTGTGCATGGCACACATCTAGCCATGCTTGACCAATCACAACGCCTCCGTTTCCACCACTGGAATCGACGGCGACCTCCATTTACATATCTCTCGAGCAAACCTACCCCGTCGCACAACATTTCACTTGCCTCAAGAAATCAATCACCCAATAGATGCAATAATCACGGCAACGTCGGGTAGCGGTGGTTGAGGGTGCAGTATGCCCCCGCTCAGTCGACTACAATGGGGAGGACATTTATACTAACGTGCGCCATGCTCCCAATACGCTTGCGGAGTACACCTCAGAACTCATGGGTCTCGGTGGCGCCCCCCCCCATTCCGCGTGCGTACCTCAGGGTCGGAGATGAGCTCCACGTCGCGCACCAGCATCGAATGAAGCGTCTCCACACCCCCGATCTCTCCCCGAATCAGCTGACCACACGTGCGTGGGAGGCGGCGACGCGAGGGCGGGGTTTTGAACAGGGCGAAGGACGGCAGGACAGGGCAACGGACGATAGGTCAGGGTAAGATGGCGATTTTACGAGAGTGGCAGACGATTGGGCAGAGTAAGAGACGACCGGAAGGCACACAACAACAACAACAACAACAACAACAACAACAACAACAACAGCAACAACAACAGCAACGCCAGCAGCAGCAGCAGCAGCAGCAGCAGCAACAACAACAACGAAAAAAACAGTTTAACAACAAGGAACACACCTGGCCGAAGAACCTGCCAAGGCTGATGATCTCCACGTCCACGTCGTCCACCGTGTTACGCGAATCGCAGTTTGACGTGGAGTACCAGAATGTGATCTCCTTGCCCTTGCCGCTGCCCTTGGGGGAGAGGGCAGGGCTGGAAGAGCTCGGCATCCGCGCCTCCTTCGCGTCGCCAGGAACGGCGGTGTCTCCACCCATATTCTGCCGGTGTAATTTGCGACACGTCGATACTTGTCCTTAAACGTTGGTGTTTTTGATGTACGTTTTTCACTTCAAGACAACCGCGGCCCACTTGCGAGCGGTAACTTTCATCTTCTGTCGTATTAAGTCTACGGCATGCCGCAAATTACATTACAGCAGCGAGAACTGTCGCCGAGGATATCACAAAATAATATCGCCTTTAACCTCTGTGCTCAGTTCAGCGCGGCAGATTTCTTCGTGAGTGCTGTGTAATCGTCTTCACCCTGCAGTGCTATATATCGCACCACCACACTATTCGCTATCTAAAACATCGCCCCACGGCCACCATTGTG